TATTGTCTCTTATTGTACACATGTTATTCAGGAAACTAAAATCACACTAACATTTTCTTTCATTAAGCTAAAAATTTGAGAAGCCAAGCAAAAGAAAAAAATTGCTTTGGCATTATAATGATAATAATGATACCTTTCTTTCTTGGCCAGACCAAGGCAACTTGCAATGAAAAAAAAAAAATTAAGATTGTTCGCCAGGAAATATAACATTAGAATTCCAATTTCTTAATTTGAAAGCTTGGTTTAAACAGATAAATGGTTTTAAAACTTTTTGATGGTGTTAAATTTGTTGTCAAAATTATAAAGTTCTTCCTGATATTCTTAGGAATTTTAAGTGAGCACAGTTCACTGATTTGCCTTTTGTAGTCGTCAGCTACAAATTGTTCCTCACCATGAAAAGGACAATCAAATGTACACATTTTCTTTTTGATTTGGAAATGTACTTCCATGAATCGCTCATGATAAATTACAAAGCAAGAACTCACAAAACATGTGACAGGCACTTACTGGCGATGCTTGGCGATGCATCGTTTGCTTTTTAGATGTCACGAATACCAAGGAGAGTCTCCGGAGCGTGTCCCTGAGTCTGTGCTCTCCCTGCTTGACAGAGAATGTTCCTATTCTATCAGAAATATAGAACAAGAAATATTTGTGAAAAAAAAAGAAAAGCTGTTTTAAAACTCCAAAGCATGAGACTGGAGGAGAGAGTGAACAATTTTACACTTTCTTTCTTCTTCAATTCTATGTCATACTAATAGTAATCGCAGCAGCTGAAATGCGTGGCACACTTTGCATTTTAAAAGCAATTTCATATCATTTCTTTTCTCATTCATTAACTCCTTTTGGAGTTAACCATAGATAAAAACGGGGTATTCTTGTTCCCTCTCCCTACACACTCTGAACTTCACAACGCTTAAGTAGCTCGCTCAAGGGTGCACGGCTGGGAGACCTCGCGCGGACTCCGGTCCCCACGCGAGCCACTCAGACGCCTCGCTCCGGGAAGGTCACACGGCTTCTCCAGCCTCCAAAGCACGGCTCTCTTCTGGCTTCTCTACTTTAGAATCCTGCTTTTGTGTCCAACATTTTTATTAGTTGGAAGCATATCACTTTTATTAATTGGAGGCATATCATTTAATTATACAAGTATTATGTGAGTGAGTTCTTTTTCATAAAGCAGAGACATGTTGTAAGTAAGGCTAAAATTCTCCGTGGCCACCGCACTCATCATCTGCAGAGTCAGCCGCTGCTGTCTGCGGGGCGTGTGTCCTTCTCGGGTGTCCCCAGAGACCAGACCCTCAGGACGCTGCTCCCGCCGTCTGGGAGCACTGGCCATCTGCCTCGGAGCCCCCGCCCCCCGCCCCCTCCTTGGAGTGCCACTGCCCGAACATACGGGGGGTGGCTTTGCACACAGACAGCATTGCACAGCTCGGAAAACGGTGCAGCGAGTCGAAGTGAAACAGCTGAGTTTCACTAGGCCAAGTAACACTTGGAGCCACGTGAGCGTGGGGTTGTCACCCTGTGTCGTCAGCTTCGTGGCTGCAGCACTGAGCACGAGCAAAAAACCTACCTGCTGTCATCATCATCATCATCATCATCATCGGTTTCTGCTGTTATTCTAGGATGGCTTGACCTTCCTATGCAGCGTCAGGAAAGGTGACGTTCGGGTGTAAACGTACTGGAAAAGTACACGGCGCGTTGCAGAGAGAATTCTCACACCATGATCAGGATATGCAGAAGTAAAAGTCTATTTCTCTGAGGAAGACAGACAGAGACAGAGAGAGAAGGAAGGCATGGCCACGACACACCGAGGAAGGAGTGAAGAGGCCAGGCAGCAGAGGGAAAGCTACTTGTGGTTTTAAAAGGGTAAAAAAGGCTTTTGTCCCCTCTGCGCCAGCAGACCGATGACAGAAGTGACAGCAAAGCTGTGTTGGGTGCTCCTTCCAGCTTACCTGGGTGCTGGGAATCGGGGATTTGGCAGGAACCGAGGCAGAGAGTTGGAGCGGGGAGTTTGCACCCCTGCTGTCCACTCATGGCTCTTCAGGGCTGAGGAAACAAGGTCTTAGAGATAACGGGTTGGACCTGGCTGTTTTAATTAAACAAAACAAAGGGAGCAGTTGTGCCGTGAGTTTATTTCCCTCATTTTCTGTTAGATAGGTTACTAGTAAGACCGCCTTCCAGGTGAGTCTTATGCAAGAGTTTAAAAATCCAAAATAAGAGAGATTTAAAGAGAAGAGAAGCCGACTTCTCTGCAACAGACAAGAAACCCAGAGGACGCCACCAGGGCTGGTTCAGCACCGTCACCGAGGCCCCGGCTTCCGCGGAAACATTGTCACTTTGCCGTCCTGCTGCAGACTGGTCTTCTTTACGGCAGACACGTGGATGTACACGGTGCTAATTCATTGCTCACATTAAAGAGAAAAGTCGATTTTTTTTTTCCTCCTTGCTCTAATGCATTTTCGGCACGAGTCCCCAAACAATCATAACCTGGAAAAGGCAGTAAACAAAGGAGAGGGAAAGGTGAGAAAGGGTAACGACAAGCGAAGTTCAGCGTTTGAACTCTTCCTTTAATGGAGAGGAACAGACACGAACGTGAGCCGTGCGGACCCAGACGGCCAGGCCTGGCCTCCGTCCGGAGCAGCACAGAAGGAAGGAGAACGGCAGCGGTGGACGGGAGTCACTTGGCAAACCCGCAGAGAGGCCACATGGTCCCGTCGTGTCAGTGCAGCCAGGAGGATGGCCTGAGTAGGCTTTCCCGTAGCACAGGAGAGACTAAAAGCGCAAAGTGCTCAGGAGCAGGGACAGCGGCCATTCCCTGTGCCCCATTAAGTGCGGCGTGTACGTAAGAGGGCTGATTCCCCATTTCCAGCCTCAGCCCTGATGTCCTGGTCATGCCTGGGCCTCCTCTGGGGCACCTGCCTCTTCTTCACGTGCGTGGACTCTGTCGAAGGGTAAAGTCACGCACCTGCTTCCTTCTGAGAAGCTGGGTGGGTCCGCTGTCCCCCTTCTAACCGGGGACAGTCAGAAGAAAAGCCCATTACCTAAGCCAAGCAACTGGCCGCTCTCAGAGCCGCGGAGTCTTGGGGACAGGCCTGGGGCGGGGCAGGAGCTGGGGGAACCCACCTGCCGGCTCAGTCGCCCTCACTGCCAGACGCCGTCAGTCCCTGCTCTGCGTCCCCGACTCAGACCTCGTGCAGGTTGGACGTACAGCCTGCTGACGCTGCGTGAGCCCCAACACTCCCCAGATTCCTCCGGCTCAGATTGAGCAGCGTTGATTCTGTTACTGTCGGCCCAGCGGCTGAGGCAGCTCGGGAGTCTGTGGACACCAGAAAAGAGAGATTTCTGGTCATTTTTTGTTTGTTTGTTTTGCTTTTTTTTTTTTTTTTTTTTTTTTTTTCCCCTCTGTTCTCCTTATCCAGACCCCGTTCCCGGCTCTTCTCATCTCTGGAGCTTGACCCCATTCGAACACAGAACATGCCGCCTGTCACTGCAGGATTAAAAAGCAAAGCACCGCAGGTATTTGCCTTATAAAAACCCACGGTGGCGCCGTCCTTGTTGCTGACAAACAGGGGCGTTTGGAGCTGTGCTGTGACTTGTGCCATCGCCCTGCTTTGAGAGCGTCGCAGAACAAAGATGCAAGCACATGAAGGCTGTCATCATTGTCACTTCAGAGTGGGGACATTTATAGCACCCCCATCCGCTGCATCTCAGGGTTGTCTATGAATACTGAATAGAAGATGCTGCAGGACCTTCACCCTGGTCCCAGTGCGGGAAGCAGCTGATGTCCCTGACCGGCAGGTGGTTCCACTGGGGACCCTGTTAGCCCCACACAGAGATGGTCCTGGGCCCAGCCAGGGTGGTTCCACTGGGGACCCTGTTGGGCCCCACACAGATGGTGGCCCTTGACCAGGCAGGTGGTTTCCCCGGGGGACCCTGGTTTGTGCTTCCACCAGAGATGGGCCCCTGACCATCAGGATGGTTCCACCGGGGACCCTGTTGGCCCTACACAGAGATGGCCCTGACCATCAGGTGGTTCCACTGGGGACCCTGTTGGCCCTACACAGAGATGGCCCTGACCATCAGGTGGTTCCACTGGGGACCCTGTTGTCCCTACACAGAGATGACCCTGACCAGCAGGTGGTTCCACCGGGGACCCTGTTGGCCCCACACAGAGG